AAGATTTTTTTATTAAAATATCCAAAAAACACTAGAACAGTGTTATATATATTGCTGACTTGTGTACTTACATTATTGCAAATGTTTCGAAGAATGTTTAAATCCAAAGAAATAAGCAATTTTAACTAGTGACACGGACCGTGTCTATAGTATCATTGTGTCGCCTGCCAATGACGTCATAACCCCCTTGATTTGTAGAAAACATGGAAACTACAAAGACGCTTTAATATGTTGTGCGTTTTAATAGACCGGTGACGACCGCACAGAGTAGCGTTATAACAGAACTTTCAAATGTATCTATTATGATAAAACAGCGCTGCTTTTTTCCCACATACGCACGACCGGAAGGAGCATAAGCGGTCTACTGTGACATAATAAAAGCTCCGGTGCTTTCGAGCTGTGTGTCACGCTCATTCAGCAGCCTCGTTTCGGCCTCACCCTGCTTCATTCTACTACGTTAATAAATCATTGGCTCATCCATGAACATGATTTCTGCCCGAGTCCCGTCGGATTGCATCGGCTGTGGTGATAAAGACGACAACTCCCATGATTCCACACTCAGTCACGGCGTCATCAAACTACACCTTTGTCTATTTGTTTATTTTGAATACGCGCCCTCTAGCGGCGAAAAAATATGCGCCCTCCAGCGGCGAAAATTACATATTGTGCCTTTAAGGCACAAATAGATGCGGAAGTGAACGGAATTTGGTGTTCATGTGCATCTGCGTGGCTCTAACCGTGTCTACACCGGGCGCAGTGCGATGCAACAAAATACTATAGAACCCATTATAATTAGTGATGCTGTCTACACTGGATTCAATGCGGTGTGGCACGACAAATCCCCAACAGTAAACTGATGCCTCGTTCTATTTATGACGTACTGACACAAAGTTCAAATGATTTGCAAAGGTCGCTTTGTCGCGTCCAGTGTAGACAGACTCATGCTGTCGCGTCCGGTGTAGACACTGTTTCTGTGTGTGAGCAAAGAATACTATCAGTATAAATATAACGATCAGTATACTAAACATCTCACATCCTGCGATGTGACTATCGTGGATAGTGGTCGACCGATATATCGCCAAGGCAATAAGTTTTTCTGTTTGGCCTATGTGATCGAGGCCGGACTTTTATTTTGACGGTGCTGAGAACGGCTGCGCCTGAGTGCACGCCGCTCACATTCTCCCTCTTGTTCGCTGTAGTCGTTCAGTTCTGTCTAATATGGATAGAAGTCTATCTATTAATCAGATAGAACTGTTAAACAAAGAAATTAAATTGTATACAAAAAAGTATTATAACGGTTGCTTTAATATTATTAGTAATAGAAAGGCAAACATTATAATACTTTCTCGTTTGCTGTCAGCATTCAGCAAATACGCATTTATATCATTTAAACAAATCTTTAAATGACTAATGAACATTTAATTTCACAAACCTTGCAGACTTAGTCGAATCTAGTTGAGATCTTGTGAAGTGTGCATTTGTATCCTGCATGATCGCGTGTTCTCTGCGTGACGGTCAGTCCATGCAAAATGAATGCTGACAGGAGGAGAGTCAGCCATCGGCCACCCTGCTTTCCAAGATATCGGCATCGGCTGTCAAAAAAAACCCATATCTGTCGACCACTAATCATGGATGCGCACATCGCGATATCGATGCTGAAACGATATATCGTGCAGCCCTATTGTCAATTGTAAATTGATTTTATGTGACTATGTACATTAACCATTTAAAACTGTTCAAATGCTTAGGTAAATTCTTGTTTGCCCATCTATGTTAAAGATCCAAAAACAAGTATATATTCCTGATATAATGCAGATGCAAAATTGTAAGTTTGGGATCGATACAATTTTATATATTTATTGATTTTGAAAAATATTTTTTATACAGCAAGGATGCATTCAATTGATTAAAATTGATAGTAAAAATATTTGTAATGTTAAAAAAATATTTCAAAGAATTCTATTTTTTAACTTTTTATTCAAAGAATCCAGAAAAAAATTATTAGAAGCATATTAGAATTTGTAATATTTCATAGTGTTTGTTTTTACTGTATTTTTTATTAAATATATGGTCTAGTTGAGCATAAGAGTATTTTTTCCACAAACTTTACAAAAAAAAAACTTGTTGACTTTTGAACTGTAGTGTAGATCTACCATATTTTGTGCATATAAAGGGTCTGTTGTTAATTTATTCATAAACTGTTTTTAACTAGGCTATGTAAACAAAATCTGCAGTTTTTTAATTGGACTCGTGTTATCAAAGTATTGCTACATTTTAAAATTTTTAATCCAATTTCATCCAATACATCAAAAATTTTAAATGTGTAAAAGTTACATACTTTGCGTATTTATATTTATATGTATATTCATTTGGCAGTCAGTACCTGAACTTTTTATGAGTGATAGAATATGGTTTTAACTCTCATAAATAACCAAACTCTGTGCGCGCAGAACTGGATTAAACACTCGGAAGAGGAGCGACAACTGTATTAAGCTGCAGTGTGTATGTGGCCTCTATTCATACAGGACCGGATTAAGCACTTACAAGAAGACTGACACTCTCTCTGTCTTTACCCTGAGTCAGAACCGAACTGATAAGAGATAGAGAGTGAAAAAGTGGATTTTATTTTTTTATTTTTATTTGGAGCAGTGCTGTCGGATAGGCGCTGTAAAGCTGGGAGGATTACGAAGGTGAATAAAGCGTGCGCTCCGACAAAGCCCCGGAGCACAGCGTCAGGGACGAGGTTCCACGATAAGACCCCTCCCCTTCTTTAATTTTCCCCCTGTTGTTTAATTTCTTATTTACATTACATACAGCCGGCTTTTCCCCTTTCCGTGCCTCGGAGCACGATAACAGAAAGAAAGAATTATGAAGGACATAAAAACTGAAGAGCAGGAAGGAGGAAAATCAAGAAAGTGGCTTTGCAGCGCTGCTTAGCATTCTGTTTGGCAAACATGAGCTTGACCATGTTTTTGAGCTCTCGTTTTTCTATCCAACTTCCTGATTAATTGTAGCCGTAGCTCATAAACGGCTGCCAGAGGAGGAAGAGTGATTAGCCGCCTGGTCAGTTGAAGTATTTACGTCAGCTGTTGATTTATTTTTTCAAATTTAATTTGAAAAAGTGCCTTGACGCTTGCTTGTCAGAAGCTGCAGTGGAGCTAATTGAATTAGTGTGGGAGAGAGTTTTTTTTGTGTTTATTGCATGAAATAAACAACTACACACTATGCTCACAATATCAGGCAGAGAATTCTGAGGATTTCATAGTGCAGCTAATTTAATTATTGTCTTTTTGATCCCCCCCAATTGTCACCGTTCTCTTTTCACAAACGATGGTATGCAGATTAATGGTTTCGGTCACAATTTACTTTCATTGTATGGAAGTTGCAATTAAACTTAACTAATTGACTCCTTTTATGTTTCAATTAAAGTGAAAGCCTATAGTTTTGGAACAACAGGAAGGTGATTTAAATGGTGGCACATTTATTAATGAAGTATATTTAAATTTAAGTGTGACCCACTTCTTGTGACTTTATCAGCATTGTGTGTATACACAACATCCTGTTTTCAATAAAATATGCTCTGAGTTTCTGAATGCTTTCTAATCTCCCTCACTCTTTACCTTTTGTTTTTCCAGTATAATTTTGTTGGGAGAATTCTTGGCCCTCGTGGACTCACAGCAAAGCAACTGGAGGCAGAGACTGGCTGCAAGATCATGGTTAGAGGGAGAAGCTCCATGAGAGACAGAAAGAAGGTGAGACATGCAACGAAACATTTGATTTTGATAGAAGATATTGCGTACATTTACTGATATTAACAAAAATAACATCTGTAAAAAAATTAACAAACACCTAATTTATACAGGGTCCATTTAAATTAAGTATTGTGCCCCAATTCATGCTTGAGCCATGTTTCAAACTAGTTCTCACAGCAGGGCCATCACTGGTCAAATTTGCAGCATGTTGGCCTGATCTGCACTGTCCATATGGGAAGATGATTTGTCTGTGCTGTGTGGTTCAGTTTGAGATTTGATTTGATTTTTGTGTAAAAATGGCAGCACCACGTAAAAAAACATGGGGCACCAGCACAACTTGTGACAAAATTGTTGTACCAGCAGGACATGTTGAACCAGCTTGGACAAATGTGACCACTTAGTCACAATTTGGAGTTTTCTCAACCCCTCTTCCTCCTTCACAGACGGTGTTCTGATGACGTTTGCCGTTTGGATCCAGTTTGTCCCTAATGAGCCAATTCACTCATTTGTTCTCTCCAATGACTTTCTTTTCCTATCTCCTGCACTCTCACGGTTAGCTCGCACGGCTCCGGCTGAGGCCCAGTTCTATTTCAGGACTGGCTGTGGTGGTGTGGGTGTCAGAGAGAACAAAAGCACATGGTAGACATACTAGAAAGTAGGACCCAGTTCTTTCATTACAGCCTCAGAAGAGACCCACTGTGTGATCAGCAGAACAAGAGCTAAACCCTGAATGATGGGAAATTATGGCTTCAGGTGGGAGTTATGTAGCAAAGAGACATAACAGTACTGCTGCCCCGTCAGCTCTGGCAGAGACTTTCTCGAGGGTTGGGCGAAATGATATTTGTACATGTAACTGCTCAGCACTACATGCTGAAAAATCTGAAGAAATGGCTTATTCTGTAGTAAGCAACTGTGCTGATTTAATTCTAAAGTGTTGAACAATCCACAGAGACCTTTTTGCCAGGAATCAGCATTATTTGGCCAGTGTAGTCTTTGTCTTTCTCTTCGTATCTCTGTCAGCGTCCCAGTGGAGCTGTTTTATCAGGAAATCCCCATCACTGTGCATTAGCATTACCACTCACACACACACACATACACACACACACCTGGGCCCCAGCTGTGCTCCCCTCTGGAGAAACCATATGTGTGAACTCAAGGGCTTGATGCAGGGCTTGATTAATCCTAGAAAGAAGTTCTCTCTCGTCTCTCTTCCTTTATATAGCATTTCTGTAGTGATCATGTCTTCTATTGCCCTGCTGAATGTAAAACACACACTCTTGTCTGAATGACTAATCTAAAGCTTGCTAGAATACTCCCCAACACAGAATGAGCTTTCTTGCTTCTTAACGGAGTTTCTCAGAATAGTCTCCTGACAGATTCTGTCATACTCCCTTTCCACTGAAATGTTGCTTATTCTTGGCTGGGGTACCTGCGACTCTCTCGTGTTTCCAACGATTTTCAGTGGAGCCAAAAGCTGACATAACTGACCATTACTACATTAGGGAGCACATTATGTTCCACTGATGTTACTGTCCGCAATCCAACATTGAGCTTGGTCTTTTCTTACTCCTAGTTCATGCTCGTAGTTTTAAGAAAAACATTTTAAAGTGGGTATGAAATTAAAATTTACCATATTTTTTTTAAATGCGTTATTGATCTTACTGTGAATGATTCATCCATGCATACATTTATTTTTAATTTAGTTTGACCTCATAATTGTTAATCAAAATATCTTTGTATGCTGGACTTCTCTAATCATTACGGTGTTAAATTGACTGCAAGTTCACGTTCAGATCTGCCTCCATCCAATTAACAATCAGTTGATCGAACCAAGTCCCCATCTTACTTTTTTCTGTTTTGTTAATCTGTTTTACTTGAATGTACATCATAATACCAAAGAAAAGATCTGTCGCTACTAGGGATGTAATGATTAACCGCGAGCCGGTTGAAAATCGATTTAAATGTGTGACGATTCAAATCGGTTGAGATGCTAAATAAATCGCGATTCAGTTAGGGGTAGGAGTTTATATGAATGTATTTAAGAAACGGTCTTTTACTTGACTTTCGCTTGAAAACCGTCCATCGCTTCCTCAATATGCGCGTCATTTTTGCTGTAGCGGAGTAGGTATACTCTAAGCGCTGTTTCGTTATGCTTTCAGTTTCGTTTGCCCTTTGATGTTTCTCATATGAAACTGAATGAAACAGAAATTGAAGCGCTTACGAGTTGACCAACGTGGTGGTCGCACCAGCGCGACTTTTCCCCACAAGAATACCAGCATGTTTACCTTCTCTGGTTTAAGAAACGGTCTTTTACTTGACTTTCGCTTGAAAACCGTCCATCGCTTCCTCAATATGCGCGTCATTTTTGCTGTAGCGGAGTAGGTATACTCTAAGCGCTGTTTCGTTATGCTTTCAGTTTCGTTTGCCCTTTGATGTTTCTCATATGAAACTGAATGAAACAGAAATTGAAGCGCTTACGAGTTGACCAACGTGGTGGTCGCACCAGTGCGACCGCGCACAAAATTTAGTCGCACAGGCAGAAAAAATGGTCGCAGTCAGGAGCCCTGCATAAGTTCATAAGTGCAGCGCTGAAGAAAACCAAGAAAACGCTTTAAGCGCCACCTGCTGGCAGAGAGTGAATCTGCGTCTCATTCAGC